GATTATTTATTTTTTATACTTAAATGAGAAAAAAAAAAAAAAAATTGCTTGGTCAGAGATAGTTGATATTGAAACGGATTATATATACAGATGTCTTAAAGATATAGCATTGTTTTAATTAATGAAGGATAAGGACTTGAAGGAACTCTATTTTCTATTTGGACCATAATATTTCATAATGTTCTCCTAATCAATGAAAGGTATGTAAAAAATTCGTGGTCTGCAAAATACTTGTGTACTTGCTACAATATTAATCCATCATCAATAATATTTTTAATCTATATTGCATATATACATATATATATATATATATATATAGTTATGTAACGGGATGGTTCTATAACGGGACCATAGCATTTTCCCTTAATATAAAAAAATTCTAATAATAAGTCTCTTATTACTAATGTGCTTATTTACAGAATAATATCGTTGTTATCGGTTTTCATTTATTTTAAATTACACATGAATAATTATTTTCATATTTTACTGGTAATTAAAGAACTAGGGAAAAACTTAGAAATAGTCCATAATTATATGGTAATTTTAAAAATAATCTTATTAGAATATAATTATTGACCAATCGTAACATTGTACCTTTTCAAATTATTCAAAATAAAGATCATGTAGAGTTAATAAAAAACTCTATGGAGACATCGGATGACTCTTTTTTGGAGTCATTCATAATTTTATGTACTGACACATGTCCAATGTGCATTTATTGCACGATACGTGTCAATACACCATTTGTGAATAACTATGGATGATTCTATAAGTCGATCTAACCATCTGATGGCTCTATTGCAAAATCCGATTAACATTCTTACGAAAATTGTACTAATTATTTTGATCGATGCATAAAACTGGGTCTCAACCATCTAAAAACACAAAATCCTCCAAATAACCTGAATTCGACATACCCAATTAAATCGAACCCTAATTTCTTCTTATCAACCACATGAACACTAACTAAGCGTATATATCAGAAAAGACAAAAAAATCAATCAAAATAATAAAATTAGATTATCTTTTGCTATGTTCACCCAAATTCATTATTCCCATTAGAATATTCATTTATGAGTTGTCTCACATCGTTTATATAAAAAAATAAGTCTAATTTATAAATCTAGTTGGCTATTCTCATCCCACCAAATTTATATTGCGCTTTACGTGCGTGAGACCACATCCGTTTTCCCTAGTTTCTTATTCCTATTTCACCTAACATATTTGTAGCCCTTCAAATA